CAATTGTGTCTTAGTTTTGATTGTGTCTACTTAGAGGATTTACCTTGATTTATTTGTATTACATTTACTTTTATATTACAACTTGGGAGTAAGGAAAAAATATGCACGGGTTGTTGCACTGAAGGCCTTATTGTTAAAAAATGTTAGCAGGAATACTCTCATTAAGTATTTAATTTAGGAGGGGATAAGGTCTTTTTGTAGTAAATCCTAGTAAGGTATTATATTTTCTTTAGAAGTTTGATTATGAGTTGGGAACAAATAGTTGTGGCTAATGATTGCCGAATGTTTGGGATTAATTTATATTACTGAATTTGTCAATGGTAGTACTTGTGTTTTAAAAATTTTATTTTTAGAGAGGTCGGTTTGTGGCACCTTAATAGTTGATCTTCTAGGATTTTGGATCTAAGATTGCATTTTTTTTTTATTATTACATATATATATATACATATTTTTTAGGCATTATTGAAGAGATTTCGAGTAAAGTGTTTATCGCTTAGGATAAATTTAAGGTCTTTCCTAAATGAGAAAAGGAGGATGCTTCCAAAGTGGGTCACCTCTTTTATGTCTCCTAGGTTGGTTACTTTCCTTCTAAATACTCCCAAACTAAGGTTCATTCACCAAGAACTACTATTCCAGTCTTATAGATTCAAAACTTAAGTGGTCTTATTATAACCTATTCTAAAAAATTTTATTTCATTTTATATAGTCCTTCCGCAAGGTATTATATTACCCTTACAACTTGTCAAAGTCTGGGTGACTCTTAAAATCTCAACCATTGATCGAGTTCCTCTAGGATATTTGAGTACAAAATTCCTTATTATCGAGATTTATTAGTATCCTTCGGTAATGGGGTCCACTGTCAAAGGAAGAAGGTTTTTGTCTCCTAAACTCAAAGATGTTTTGAGAAATGGTTCGGTCTACATGTCGAAAATCATTATTAGGGGGTGGTTGGTTTGGGTTATGACCTATAGTACCGGTCAAACCCTAGGTGGCTCAAAATAACTCAGTAAAATTAGACTGGGTCAGAGCATCCTAGGCCTTGGGGTGTTCTACAGATGGTCTCCCTTGAGTCATTAATCTTTCATAAAGAGACAACAAGCTTGAAGACTAGAAAAAAAAGGTCAGTTTTAATTCCAAGAATTTTTTAAGTCTAAATTATAGATCTTGGTGTAAGGGATTTTCCTAAAATCGGACTCAGATACCATTCGTGACGTCCCAAATACCAAATGGGTAGAAGGGAGCCAATTACTTAAGTAGTTACGATTTTTGACATTGAAACAGAAATTAGAAATCCCGTATAGAACAAACGAAGTTTTTAGAACTTATGTCAAATGCCATAATTTGAAAATATTAATTAATTGAATACAAAAGTGGGGTCCTTATAGAATTTTTATATTAGAGTATGGAATAACTATTGCACTTGAATTATGTCCTAAAGAGTTACCAAGGATCCATGAATAGTTCTAATCAAATATCGAGATAACTCGGAAGACTGATCCTCAACTTTCATATTATTTGGGGGACATGGATTAGGGATGAGTTCCATCTAACCTTAGGAAAGAAAACAATATTTACACCACACAGCTAAGATTCAAAAAGTAAGCAACTTGAATAAAACTTTATGTACCTCTTACCTTAGAGAACTGTCGCGAGATGAGAATATTTAATTATTAAGAAAACTCTTTTGTCTTGAATTAAGGAAATCTGATGAAAAAATTACATAACCAAGCTAAAAGGACCATTATTCAACATCTAAGTAGGCAATTTGTATCATTTTTAGCATACTTGAACGTATCAGATATCCAATAGAAATCAAACAAACAACCTACTCAGTAAACATATGAACCATCATATAAATCATTATGGAGATTCAACTATCCCAAGCAGTGTACTTAATACACAGAAGCATCATCATATAAATCATCATGGAGGTCAATTATTACGAGCAACGTACTCAGTAAACATAATAATTATCGTGTAAATCATCATAGAGGTTCAACCACTATAAACAACATACTCAATAAACAGAAGAACCATCATACAAATCATCATAGAGATTAAACTAATACTAATAGCATACTTAGTAAACAGAAGAACTATCATACAAATCATCATAGAGATTCAACTAGTACGAGCATCATACTCAGTAAATAAAAGAACCATCGTATAAATCATCATAGAGATTCAACTAGTAAGAGCAACATACTCAGTAATCAGAAGAATCATCATACAAATCATTATAGAGATTTAACCAGTATGATCACCATACTCAGTAATCAAAAGAATCATCATACGAATAATTATTGAGATCAACTAGTACGAGCAACATACTTAATAAAAAAATGAATTATCGTACTAACCATAATAAAGATTCAAGAAGTGTGGGTAACATACTCAATAAACAGAAGAAGTATCGTACGAATCATTATAAAGATTCAACTAGTATGAGTAACATACTCAGTAAGTAGAAGAAGCATCATACGAATCATTATAAAGATTCGACTAGTGCGAGTAACATACTCAGTAAATAAAAAAAACATCATATAAATTTTTATAGAGATTCAACTAGTACGAGCAGTATACTCAGTAAACAAGAAAAGTATCGTACAAACCATTATAGAGTTTCTAATAATATCCTTAACCGTATGCATATTTTATTAAGTCTTTTATTGACCTCCATGTGAAACCATTACAACATATATCTACTGAGGGCATAAGCGATCCCTGACTACCACTGTGAATCATCAACCAATCCCCGGGTCCTTATCATATCCCCATCTAGACTCTAACCATGGCAATCCATTCGCCATGGTGGTCCTACATATACTAAATGTATATCCTCTCTCGTAAGAGAGAACACCAATCATCACATGGAGCGGTTCACTAACACTTATTCAAAAGAGGGAGAAACAGAAACTCCACTACGATAATGGTCAAATAGATTTTTCCATTCTTTTCACTTGTTTTTTTCATGCTCACAACAATTTCATATTCTTTTCATATGCATATTACATGTTCAATGCAACAATTTTTGAATCCACAGAGATACCATAACTTATCTGACCCATAGACCTTGTTTTCATATATTTGCCTAAAGGTTCATGCCTAACCTGAAGGCTCATTTCATGTATCTAACCCGAAGGCCCATCTTACCTGCACTTGACCTTCAGGTCATCCTCTTGAACTAAGGTTTACTAGAATAACCCTCTTCACCATTACTAAGGTAAAGTGAAGGACCAATGTGAAATCCCGCATCTTTGTGCTTCATGTGGTATTAAAACTCCATTTTATTGGGGCTTTTGGCAATTAAATTTTTTTAATGTAATATTATTTTATTTTGAATTTCTGCCATTTTCTCATTAATTTATCAAAAAATTTATTATTTTTTTTATTAATTTAATTTAATTTATTTTATTTTATTTGTTAAAGTTTTAAAAATAAAAAGAAGAGGAAAAATTTTTGAAGAGAAAAAAAAAAGGTGTTGGGAAAAACCCAGCCCACGTCGCCCTACCTGCATACCCATACGGAAGTTCCTGCACACAATGCACCTGTGCGCCCATCAGCCAGGCACATGACCCATCAACCGGGCACTTGTATTGCACCCAGTTTGTGCATAAATCTGGCATGCAGATGCACCCATCAAACGTGCATAGTTCAGCGCCTGCAGATCCCACACGTGGATCCTGCACGTAGAGTTGTCGCGTTAGGCACTGTGCACCCCTGTGCGACGCGACAGGCATAGGATAGGCTGTGCGCATGTGCCAGGCCTAGCCTGCCCCGTGCGACAAACTTGGGCAGTGTGCGGCGCCTCGAGCCCCACGCTGCTGCCACTACTGCTATTGCCACCACAACCGCTATTCTTGCTGCTACCGCCGCTGCCACAACTGTTATTACCAACACTGCCACCAATACCACTGCCACCGCCACTGCCACTGCCACCGCTGCCGCCGCTACTGCCTTGGGAGCCGTGCCTCCCCTTGGGAGCCGCTGATGATGCCATGATGACATCACCATTTTTCTCTCTCCTCCTAAATTTGTGACACTTGTCACAAATTCAATGGTTCTCTTTCCCTATAAATAAAGACCTTCCCCCACCACTCTTCATCACCTATTTTCACCCTCAAAGACCGAAATTATTGAGATATTAGGAATACAAGCACCAAGGTCTAACTTCATAACATGTAATACAATATTGTAGAAATCATGATAAATAGAGTGTATCAGTAAATGGTTTTACTTTTAATAGATCATTCTCCTTTATATATTTTTTAAAAATATTCTTTAGTAATAGTGGGTGAGAAAATGGTAAAGAGGGGGTCCCTATTTATAAAAAATGGGGACTGTTAGATTTGCACTAAGTGGTGAAATCATCTAAGGAGAGAGAAAGTCAAAGTGAAATGATGAGATGTGACAATTGACAGATGTGACCGATGGATGGATGACGCGACGTGATAGTGGTGCAAAAACTAGAGGAATGCCACCCAAAAAATGGTGGCACATTCCCCAAGTGACAGCGACATGCTGCCCAAGTCGGTGGCAGTGCGCTGCCCAACCACGGTGTTCGCTGCCTGAAGGTGGTGCACGATGCCCAAGGGGGAGGCACGCCTTGCTCGAGGCAGCGCGCGCTGCTCAGCCTACCCAACGTGTTGGCCTACTACGCACAAGCCTACCGCTCACAGACCTCTTGGGCCCAGGCCTATCGCTGGACAGCGTGCGCACAGGTGCGCGAAGCTGCAGGTCCGTCTGTGTGTGACGGGACACGCGACAGACCGTGCCTCACACCCTACGCAAATGGGACTTGAACACAAGCGAACGTCCTATGTTGGTCGTGCACGCACACGTGCGCATGGTGCGTGGAACTCGCGTGGGCAGGATCTTTCCCGCGGGCATTTTTGCTGGATTTTCTGTCTTTTTCCTTCATTTTTTCCTGAGATCTTTTTTAAAAAAATTTTAAAAATAAATTCTCAATAATTTACCAAAATAAAATAAATTTCAATAATAATTTAAACTAAATAAATACGAAACTTCAAATGTTGAATTTATCCAGAAATTAAAATTTAGAATTTAAATAGTTTAAATGGTCTTAGGGGCTAAATAAATAAGGGTTCATAATACAAATTAAGCACAAAGGTTTTTAGGGTGTTAGATCAATCATGCAACATACTCTCCTGTATCATGCCACATGTTTGAAACTCGGTGGGGTCCAAAACATTTGGCCAGAGGTCCATTATCTTCGGACTTAACCATGAGGATGTTTCTTGAAGCCGATGCTCCTTAAAATACCCCTCTTTGCCTGTACCAAGAGTAAGACAAAGTATCAATATCCATAAAATCCCAATTTGTTGTTTGTTTAAAAATAAAGCAATAAAAAAACACCAAAATGAATTATTAAACCAACACAAATCAAGATGTCGCCAAGCAAACATGAAAAAAACTCATCACAATTATACTTCATTTTCATCATTTTATTTAACTATAAAGAGCTATTAGAAGTGTAGATAAAAATACTAAAGAATCCATTACAATAACTAGGTTGACTTAGCCTTTTCGGAAATGGAGGAAGAGATACTAAAAATATTTTCAAATGAGCATATGGAACTCCTATTTTTTTTACATTCTTGTTCCGGTCTCTCTCTAAAATCTCTTTTTTTCTCTTTCTAAACTTGATAATCTAAAGAATGAAGAGGCAAAGGGTTTATATAAGGGTAAAAATTGTCAGATTTGTGCCACTTAGCAAAAATCAGAGTTGTGGAGTGAACGAGTGGAATTGGGCCAACAAAACATGGCCAACATGGCCAAGAATGGCCTTGGCCTATGGGACAAGCTGCCGTCCCAATGGCTATCAGTGCACAACGTCGTGTTATGCGCTGGCATGGGTGGTCGTGCCATATACTGTGCGCGCATAGGTACTGGTATGCTGCCTACTGTGAGCAGTCGTGCTGCATTCTATGCACAAGTACCGTGAGCACAATCACGTTTAGGGTGGGCGCGATGCATGCAAGCTTGCCTACGCAGGTTGCTCGTAGCTCAGGAGTCACGGGTCTAGTTTTCTTGTTGTTTTTTCTCCTAAAATTTTTATTAGTTCGCGTAAAATTTTGGGAAAACTAATTAAAATAAGAAAAACTCAAATTTCCAACAAAAATCTCATTTCACCGAAGGCCTAAGATATTGGAATTTTAAAATTCGTTAACTGCCAAAAAGTTGGGATGTTACATTCCCTCCACCTGATAAAAATTTAGTCCTCCATATTTGTAGGGGTTCTTCAAAACAAGTTGGGATATAGGTCTCACATCTCTTTTTCTTCTTCCCATGTCGCCTCCTTCTGGGTGTGGTGCTATCAATATACCTTGACCATGGAAACTTCTTCTCTGTATAATGTCTTCTCTGACCAGTCGATGATCTCTATAAGATAGGCTGCATAAGTGTTATCGGTGAAGATAAGGGCTCTCAGATGCATAATATTGTGGAATGGATCACTAAGATGCTTTTGAATAATGAAAACATGAAAGACATTATACAAAAATCATACCCAACTGTCAAAGCAAGGTAGTATGCCATGAGGCCTATACGGTTTGCAATCTTTAGGGGTCTAATGAAACAAAGACTTAGCTTTACTACCTGTCCATCTTACAATCCTGCCTTGCATGGGAAGACCTTGAGGAAGCGTGGTGATCAACCACAAACTCCAAGGGCCATCTTCGGTTGTCTGTGTAGATCTTCTATTGACTCAAAGCTGTTAGGAAGTGCCTCCGGATAGTATCAACATCTGCGATAGCTCTATGGACATAATCTAACGTAGTGAGACGTCTGTTTCCAACCTCATTACGATGAGCTAAAGATCGGCAAGGCCTACCATAGAGGACCTCAATGGAAGTCATACTAAGACTAAGTTGGTGGCAGTTGTTGTAAGTGAACTCATAAAGAGACAGGTATTGATCCCAACAGCTTTCAAAATCTAGAATGTAAGCACCTAACATGTCCTCTATGTAATGCTAAGGTATATTGGCCAGTAGTGTGGGAATGAGTGGCGATGCTAAGGGTCAAACTAGAACCACAGCTCCCTGAAAATTATCCTAAAATGTTGTGTGAAGCGAGGTTCCCTGTTCGACACCACAGAAGTAGGTATACCATGAAGTCAGACAACTTCTTCGATGAATAGCTAGGCTAGTCTCACAGTTGTATCGGTGGTCCAGGTGGTAAGAAAGCAAGCTGACTTGGTCAACTGAGCTACAACAATCCAAATGGTATCATGATTGGTATAAACCTAGTCTTGTGATGAATTCCATAGTAATGTGCTCCCACTTCCACTCGGAAATGGGAGGACCTTGCAAAAGACCACAGGACATTAGATGATTGATATTGATTCTTAGCAAATGGGACATCAAAAGACATATTCAGTGATATCCCTCTTTATGCTAGGCCACCAATACTGGTGCTTTAGATCGTGGTGCATTCTGGTACTACTAGGGTGGATGGGTAGCTTGGACGCATACACCTCATTCAGAATATTTGTTCAGAGCGCTGGGCTATTAGGTACCCAGATCTAATTACAGAATTGGTACAGCCCTTTGTCAGTCACTATGAAGTGACTGTGACTTCTGCTATCTCCTATGCGGCAAACTTGTTCCTATGTTTCAGAATTTCTGGGTTTATCGCCTGGGCCTAAAGTCCATTGGGGATGTTGGGTTGACCCTGAATTTGTGCAAGATAGGTATGGTGGCTGCGGTGACTTATTCAAAGCTCTTGAATCATCTCTAACATCTTCTACCTAGAAATCATCAGTCGTTTTAACAAGGGTCTTTCCTCTCGGTCAAGGGCACCATCGCTTTTTCTTCCCCTGCTGAGATGATGTAGGATTGTACAATCATAATCCTTCAGAAGATCCATCCAGTGTTCCCTTCTCTTAATCCACTTTTCTCGAGAAACTAGTTACTTTAGACCTTCATGATTGGTGAAGATCTCAAACGTTCGACCTTGCAGATGATGGTGCCATATCTTCAATGGAAAGACTTTAGCAATAAGCTCAAGGTTGTGAAAGGTGTGTAGCCACATTCATATGGCTTCAGTTGCCTAAAACCATATGTCAGAGTTCAGCCTTGCTGTATGAACACACATTCTAGACCCGTATGGGATACATCGCTCATTATTCGAAGGTAGTCAGTGTTATCGAGAAACAATAACACTGAAGTGGTGGCAATTCGATGTTTAAGCTCCAAGATGCTTCCTTCACACTCGGGGTCCTAGTTGAAGTAGAACCCCTTTTTTGACAAGACTTGTCAAATGAGCAGAAATGCAGGACAGGTCTTGGATGAATCGCCAATAGTATCAAACTTATCTCAAGAATCTTCAAACATCTTTGGTGTTGATAGGTTGGTATAAGCTAATGCTGTTCTCGATCATAGTCGAGTCAATGGAAACCCCTTCACCAAAAATCACATGGCCAAAGAAGGAGACCTGATCCATCTAGAAGGAGCATTTCTCAAACTTGGTGTATAGACGGTGTTGATGAAGAGTTTCAATTACATAAGTGAGGTGGGCAATGTGGTCCTAGGAGTTCTTTGAGTACACTAGTATCTTGTTGATGTGGAGTAGAATGTATTGGTCCAGGACAGGTCCAAAATTTGGTTCATGAAGTTTGAGAATATCGTTGGAGCATTTGTTAGTCCATAAGGCATGACTCGAAATTCAAAACAATCAATTGATAGCAGAATGCCATCACTAGTATATCTTCGATTCTAACTCGTATCTGGTGATAAGTAGATTTAAGGTAAATTTTAAAAAACACTAAAACACTTGAAAGTCAATTGAACAGGTTGTCAATACGGGGCAACGGGCACCACTTTTTAGTGGTCACCTAGTTGAGTTCTCAATTATCGATGGGAAGACGAGATGTCCCATTCTTCCTTTCTGTGAACAAGACAGGGGCACCCAACAGAGAGGAGCTAAGCCAGATAAACTTCTTTCTTTGCAGTGCCATAAGTTCACAATATAGCTCCCGGAGTTCGATCCTATTCATGTAGTTTGAGGGTATGTCAATGGATTGGGGTCCAAGAACTATATTGATGGATCACTCAACTTTTTGTCTGCGGGGTAGTCTTAGCAATTCTTTGGGGAAGACATCCGAAAAGTCATCAATGATAGAGATGATATGAGATTATGGTTCTGGATCCATCTTCTTATCTACCACAAGGGTTAACAGAAAACAAATATTTGTAAAAGAAGTCTTTTACGATATATATATATATAATATAAAACAAGTTTCTTAGTTCTTTCTCTCAGATGAGATATGTTTCCTAACTTGGCTAGCTACTCGATGACACTTTAACGATGATAGTGATGAGCATCTAGGATTTCCTACTTCAGACTTGGAATCCTAATCGTAAGGAAGTTTTCCTAGAATCGGGCTATGCTACCATTTATGGCATCCCAAATACCTAATAGGTAACAATAGAATAACCATCATATAAATCAAGGGTAGTATTTTAAACTACATTTAAGTTTTATTTTGTCTTTCACTGACCTTCACACGAAGCTGTTATAATATATATCCACTGGGGTAGAAGGGATCCCTGATTATCGCTATGAATCACTGACCCATTCTCGGGTTGTTATCATTTCCCCATCTAAGCTATGCCCATGGTCGTAAATTTACCACTATGGCTATACCTAACGTGTATCCTCTCTCGTAAGAGGGAATGTCGATCATCACAGGGTGGTTCACGAACACTAATTTAGAGGAGGAAGAAATAGAAACCCCTTAGAGATAATGGTTAAATGAATTTTTCCCTTCTTTTTACTTATTTATTTCATGCTCATAACAGTTTCGTGTTCCTTCTATATGCATGTTGCATGTCCAATGCAACTGTTTCTGAATCTAATGAGAATTCCATAACTTATCCAGCTTGAAGGCCTATATTTGGCCCAAGGGCTCATAACCAACCCGAAGTCTCATTTTTGCAGACTTGACCTTTGGGTCATTCTCTTAAACTAAATTCCACTAGAATAACCCTCTTCACCATTACTAAAATAAGGCAAAGGACCAAACCTACATACAGTTCTAATCAGCATGTGTCATGCATTATGCTCATTGCTTTCATGATTAAACAAAAATCAATAACTATAGAGACATTAAACATCAAATCCATAAGTTCAACCATGCAAATCATCAACCTTAACAAGGATTCATGGATCACAATCATACAACATACTCTCTTGTATCATGCCTCATGTTTAGAACCTGGTGGGGCTCCAACACAGTTGGCCAAAGCTCCATTGTCTCCGAACTTGACCATTGAGATATTCCTTAAAACTGGAGCTCCTTAGAATACCCCTCTTTACCTTTACCAAGAGTAAGACAAAGGATCAATATGTATAAAATCTCAATTTGTCATTTATTTAAAAAATAAAGCAATAAAAACACCTAAATAAATTATCAAACCACCACGAATCAAGATATGTCACCACGCAAACATTCTTTTATTTAACTACAAAGAGCACTTAGAAGGATAAATAAAAATATTAAAGAATCCCTTACTGTATTCGAGTTGACTTATCCTTTTTGAAAGTGGAAGAAGAGCTTCTAGAAATTTTTTCGAACGAGCTTGTGAAACTCTTATCTTTTCCTTTCTTTCTTGCTCTTTTCTCTCTCTAAAATCTCTACTCTTTTTCTCTCTAAATTTTATATTTTAAAGAAGGAAAATGATTAGAAGAATGAAGAGGGGAGGGGTTTATATAGGGGCAAGAATGGTTGGATTTGCACCACTTGAAAGAAATTAGAGATGTGGAGTGAAGGAGTGGAATTGGGCATTAGTACACGGTGCTGCTGTGCGCCTTGCTACGTGCAGGCAGCCACACCGCGCATTATGTGCGCACTGGCTACCTACCATGGACTAGCCTTGTTCTGTTGCACATTGTGTAAATGGTACGCACACACAGTCGTTCGAAGGGCATGCATAGTGCACGCCGACAAGCCCACAGGTTGCCCACAGGTTATAGGTTGCGGGTCTAGTTTTTCGTGTCATTGATTTTCTAATAATTTTTTCTCTAAACTAACAACTTTTTTGTTAGTTCGAGTAAAATTTTGGATAAAATACTTAAAATAAGTGAAACTCAAATTTCCAATGAAAATCTCATATGGCTGAAGGTCTGAAGTATTGGAGTTTTGAAATTTGTTAACTGCCAAAAAGTCAGGGTGTTACAAATGCCATATGTGGAGTTTTTGATTGCACTATTGATCTTGGATTTTGCATCATAAATTAATTTTGACCATGGAAAAAACTCATTTTTGTCCCCTCATCATGCCGAAATACTAGTGAATGCAAGTGATATAACCTAAACAGTGCAAGTAAAATCCATAAATCCTAGAAATTAGTGAAAAATAGTGAATAAATTAAACTTAAGTGTTCAACAAAATTAATATCAACCATAAAACACTAAACTAACAAAAATTTAGGTTAAAATGTTCAAAACTAAAAATTAATTGACCATTTTTGATGATTTTTCAAAGACCCTAACGTCTCAGTGGACTCAAAGATACAAAAAAAAAAAAAAATCTGTTGTAGATACTACATTGTTCCTACCCCTAGTCGTAGGAAATATGTGGTGGACTGACATCTCAGTAGATATTATGGCAAGGTTGGGGCTTTTCTCTTCCCTAAAACACACATATACACAATTAGAGATAGTAAAACTTAAATCGAAATCACCCCAGGGAGGTTTAAGTGTTTACCAAAAAAAGAATGAGTCTCACTGGCAGTAGGTGTCTAGAGAATCGAAATAGGCTCTCAGCTCAACTCCCTCTCCCTTTCCCTCTCTACTTCCTAGTTTCACCTTTTTCCTCGGCCTTTGTTTTCTCTTAGTCACTCCGATCTCCCTTTCTCTCTCTCACTCCTGTACTCGATCTCTTCCCCATGCTCAACTTCCTCTCTCAAACTCCCTTTCCCTCTTCGTTGTTCATTGACACTCCTCTGTCTTTGGTTTATTTTTAGCAAAAAGTTGGCTTTTATACGAGGTAAGGGTGAATCTGCACTGTCGGATCTAAGGATTAAACCATAACCATCCAATTTAGGGTTCTTTAAAGGTAATTTTGACCTTTTAAAGGGTCCTACGATGAGAGTGAATCTCCACCATCTGATCCTTAATGCATCTCTTGTGTGGCAAAATCTAGATTGTCCATGTTAATTTCATCCCTGTGACTCCGATTTGCCACTCAACGTCTGCATGGCTTGATCTGGACCATTAATTCAAATTTCCTTATGCGCACCTATGTGGCCCATTACGTGGTCATTTCTGATTGGTTCCCTTGGACATCTCAGCTGCTAAGATTCCAAAACTCTTAAAATCTACAGATTTCTCCTAATTTCAAAAATCTTTTTCATTTTGGTCTTTTTAAAATTATAGATTTTTCCAATTTCTTTAATCTTTTTCAATCTGACCCTTATGTCAAATTTCTTTTATTTTTCTTAATATTTTAAAATTTTAAATTATTTCTCAAAGAAATTTAAATTTCTTCATGGGTAGATCATATTAATATTTCTTGAAAATTTGATTTTCGTTGTTCTTGTACACTGCAATCTATTTCGAAAAATTTTGAAATTATTTTTATTAAATTTCTACAAGAACATTGTACATGCTCATTAATTCTCAAACTCTGAGTTAACTATTTGTTCCCAAGTACTTATTTAACATTCTCGTAGGGATTTTAAATTTAAACTAAATCTCATAAAAAATTTAATATTCTTCCGATATTTCATTCTCTGTTAAATTCTCCCAAAAATGCCTTAAAGGTCATGCACCTTATTTGTGAGGTGTTACAAAAAATATATAAAGAATTAAGTTGAGATTTTAATTTTGAAGTAAAAAAAATTAAGTTCAAAATTAAAATTTAACATTCAAAATATTTAGTTAATATCAACAATGTAAATATTTGTTAGTAAAACTAGTAATTGGTAGTAATAACTGACATTTAACTAGATACATAATTCCATATGTAATCCTATTTATATTAAAACCGGTGGAATATATGCTAATCAGTACAGGTTAATATCATGTCATTTGCTACACTCATTATTCTAGCTAAGTTTCCTCCTCATTTTTCTCGCCATTACTCTTTATAATGATTTTGGTCTCTACTTTTTCTTGTCTTTTCCTCCATATATAACCTTAGCTTCCACCATTTATAGTCTAGTTTCCTCCATTCTAGTTGCTCATTCAAATTTCCTTTCTCTACTTGCTGTTCATTGTGAGAGCCTCACTTACAAGATCAAAACAGTGCCATCAATGTTGTATTTTATTATAGTAATTCATTACATAATGAGCATCATATCACCATATCATTGTATATCTTATCTTATTTGACACCATCATCAAGCTCCTTACATGTGTAATTGATAAAAATTCAACTTCTTTTGTTTGTTACAAGCAAGAACATGATGTAAATTAAGTTTAAATGGGTTAGACAACTGATAAAACAAACATTAAAGAGAATTACAGGCTCAAACTATATTACACTTAGATAATAAGATGAAGTTGGACTTTCTTAATTTTCTTTTTTTTGAGAAGTTTAGTCCCATGATTTAATTTGGCCTATCTAAATATTTTGAAACTTTAACTGAGATCAATTTTTCATATTTCCCTATTTATTTTAATTTTCTAATAAAAATTGAAAAAAGAGCTCAACAAAATTAGACTATAACACAAATATTGCATCTAAAGTGAATATTATTTTAAAATGTTTTCTCTTCTTACTAGTGTGTCAATACTAACATGAATTGTTATTGTTTTGTTCTCCTAAATATGCAACTCCTAAGGGTTTATATAAGAATTTGAAATGAAAGGTTTTAAATATTTTAAACATTCATCGAATGCATAGATTTCAAAATTAGTTGAAGTTAAAAAAAAATTACAAGTTTTATCTATTAGCTTATGTTGGATTTGGGCGGTAATCTTTCCTCAATTATGGAAATTGACTAAATTAGTTGCTTTATCTTGATTATTTTTTTAAAATAATAATAATAAATAACATTCAATTATTAAGTAAAAAAATTAACAATTTGTTGGATTTTGTGCACCAAGTCTACTTTGTTATTACTTCCCTAGAAAAAATTAATTGGTAGATATCTTAACTAAAGGAGGAGTTACAAGAGGAGATTACACACGAAAGCATTCTTATTATGATTGTGAAGATCTAATCTATGTGTTATTACCTGTGTGACATCCTAGATACCTATAGGTAAAAAGGAGCCAACTACTTAAGCAGTTAAGAGTGCTAAAACAAAAATTTGACATTGAAGCGAAAATAGAAAATCCCTTACAAACAATCTAAGGTTTAAAACTTATAGTAAGGCCATAAGGTGGCAATCTTAAGTATAAAATAAATAGTAGAGTCCTTATGGAAATTTACATCAGAGTGCGGAATAGCTATTGCACTTGAATTATGTCTTAGAGAGATCACCAAGGATATGTAAATAGGTATAGTCAAACTCCAAGGGGTGACTCATGGAGCAACTCTCAACTTTTTCACTCTTGGGGGTTGCATGAATTGGGGGTGAGTTACATGTAAACTCAGTAAGAAAAATAATATTTAAAATCATACGACTAAGGTTTAAAGAGTAAACAATGTGAACAATGCTTTTTATACCTCTTACCTTGGAGAATTGTCGCGAAAAAGAGTCATTTAATCATTTAGAAAATCATTTTCTATGTTAGGAAATTATATGAAATAATTATACAACCATGCTAAAAACACCGTTAGTCAACTTTCATGCAGGCATATTACATCATATACAACTAAACCAATGGAACACTAGATAAACAAAAAAGTCAATCATACAAGTCATCATAGCAAAGCCAAATACATAAATAACATATTTAGCAAATAGAAGAACCATCATATAGATCAAGATTAGCATTCTAAACAACTTATAGGCTTATTAATCTTTAACTAACCTTCGCGCAAAGCCGTTACAATGTATTTCCCTATATTTTAAATTGTTAATATTTCTATATTTTAATTTTTATCATGTTTTATTTTATTAAAATTGGTATTTGTTTAAATTTGGTATTTATTTATTAAAAATGGTATTTGTTTATTTAAAATATTTAAATTTGATTTTATCTTTAGTTTATAATTATGAGTTTTCAAAAAGGTAAAATCACATAGGTATTTATCTAATTCAAATTTTACTTACGATCTCATCTGTAAATTATACTTCTGAATTTAAAAAATAAGAGATCGCAAAGAGAGAAAAGAAAGACAAGAAAGGAAAACAAAAATATGGAGAAAATATCTCCCCCATATTGTGGCATGCTCCCTCTTACCTCCTTGAATTTATATTTTTGAATTTTAAAAGAATAAGAAAAGACTGAAAAGAAAGAAAGAAAGGAAAACCAAAAAAGTGGATAAAATCTTCCTCATACCCACCCCCATACCTCCCCACACTCTCCTCATACCCGTCCCAATACCTCCCCATACTCCCCTCATATCCACCTCTATACCTCCCCACGCTCCTCTCATACCTTGCGGGTCTAACAGTCGCCACCACACTCTTCCTTCTTGGACGCTTGCCATGTGACGCACATCCAAGCCTCTTCTATGCCTATTTAAAGGCTCTCTTCTTCCTTATTTCCCACACTTCATTTCTTTTTCCATTTTCACTTTTAGATAGAGGTTTAGAGTGAGAAGGAGGAAATTTTAGAGAGAGAGAAAAACAAGAAAGAAGGAGAAAAAGTAGGAGTTTAAAGAGGTTGACCAAGGAGTGCTAGAAGTTCTTTCCTTCATTTCCAAATGATTAAATTGACACGATTATGATAAGGGATTCTTTGGTATTTTCATCTACATTTAGAGCGCTCTTTTTAGTTAGTTAGTTTGGTGAAATTAGATATTTATTGACATAAATTTCTATACTTGTTTGATAATTTATTTTGATAATCATTCATGATATGTGTTATAATGATGATTTGAGATACATGTGGGATTAACCCTTTGTCTTACCATTGATAATGTCAAAGAGGGTTGCTTTAAGGAGTTTTGACTTTAAAGAATATCTCGACGGTCAAATCCGAGTATAACGGGCCTTTGGCCAAATGTGTTGTTGAAGCCCCACCTGGTTTTGGACGTTAGGTATGATACATGATAGTGTGTCGTATGACTATGATGCTTGAATTCCTACAAGGATTGACGTTTGGTATTGTTTAGTCATGACAATAGTAAACATGATGCATGAAAATATGATAATTTAAAATTGCATGTGGATTTGGCCCTTGGCCTTACCTTAGTAATAGTGAAGAGGGTTATGCTAATGGACCTTGGTTCAAGAGGATGACCTAAAGGTCAAGTTTGGACAAGATAGATCTTCGGGCTAGATACGTGAAATAAGTCTTTGGACCAAACATAAGCCTTTAGGCTAGATATGTGAAAAAGGGGCCTACGGGTCAGATAAGTTATGGAATTCCTGTGGATTCAAAAACTATTGCATTGAACATGTAGTATGCATATGAAAAGAATATAAAATTGTTGTGAGCATGAAATAAACAAGTGAAAAGAATTGAAAAAATATGTTAATTGTTATGTTTGAGGGGTTTCTATTTCTCCATCCTCTTAGTAAATTTAGTGAACCGCTCCTTGTGATGATCGATGTTCCCTCAGACGAGAGAGGATACATGTTAGGTGAATATAGGGTCGCCATGACGAATGGATCGATGTGGTTAGAGTCTAGATAGAAAAATGATAAGGACTCAGGAATGGGTCGGTGATTCACAATGGTAGTTGGGGATCCCTTATGTGCTTAGTGAATATATGTTGTAATAGCTTCATGCGAAGGTCAGTAAAAGACTTAATAAAACATACATATGGTTACAGATATTATTAGAAACTCTATAATGATTTGTACGGTGCTTCTTCTGTTTAACTAGTTGAATCTCTATAATGATTCGTACAATGCTTTTTCTATTTATTGAGCATGGT